GAAATTGGGTTGCTTAGTAGAATTAGTTTAGTTTTTAGTTAGTTTATACCACAAAGTCTTAAAATCCACGTTCTCAAGGGACAATTAATCAATATAAAATATTAACGTATTAATTATAATTAAAGACAAAAGGAATAAAAACCAAATGATTTTAATATACTAGAATTTAGCAAGGAACTACCTGATGGCTTTCTACATGGTTGATATATATATCGAGACTAAATCTTATTAGAAAAATTTATATTAGCAATAAAGTTCGGCCCGGTCGACCAGCCCGAGCTTTTTTTGGATCGACCTGGCCATGATTTTTCATTGACCTGTATCACTACTTTAATATATTGATCACAGCTATCCTTTGGCCTTGGGCATTGGTACAATATTGTATCTAAGCTGAGCCTCCTCAGCATTGATCGTCATTTTCTTAGAAGCCTCTTTTCTTCTTTTTGAGTATCCAGGTGCTAGGCCACTGACTACCTAGTCTGAATTGTATTTATTGTCGGATTTCTTCTTCATATATTAATAACTTTGAGTAAGTCTTCTTATCTTGATTCTTCATGTTCATCTTTTTCAATACCAATTCTATTTTGATAACAATATCCAATTTGTGGATATGCTTTGACATTCCTCTGGGGCTTCTCTTGAGTCTTTCTAGTAGGTAATGCAGACATTTTCTTCCTTCTTGCTGTCCCTTTCTTCTTTTCGAATCTTCATACTAATCGATTTTTCTTTTCTTTGGGTTGTTTCAGTTATTTACCCAATATGCCCCGTTCTTGCACTTGATTGTTATGACCAACTATATCTTATCTTTCATCATGTCCATTTTCTTCTTTGCTTTGTCTTTTTCTTCTGTTACTTCAGTTGCAATTTCTATTTTTCTATACTTCGATCTTTCCGATTCTGATACTTTGATTTCTTTAACGTCAGATTTAACTTCAACATTTTACGTTCTTGAGGTAGGTATTTTTTTTGTGTATACGTCTTGCTTAGTCTACCATTCATTTAACTATCCTTTCTATGAATTCTTTGTCTACAGGGGTTTCTATTATCAGTATATTTCATATTTCATTCAAATGTTTTAATTTTGTCCTTGTAAACACTTATTATCATTCACAGTGGCTTTTGATGTCTAGTGAATGCCTCATGTTGATCTATTTCAACTCCAATTACTCTTCGTAACAATTTTGAGATTTAAGCATTCTACCAGATCCATTGGTATATTCTTTTACAGTAATTCTTCAGTTTTTGAATAACCTTTTGCTCTTTTTCATTTGAATTATGAATTACTTTAAATGCAATATAGCATGCACCATTAATTCATGTATGATATACAATTGCAAATCTCTTTCCCAATTGTATGATGCCTTTGAACTCATTATAGTCGATCCAAGATAATTTGAATCTTTTCTCATCTAATATTTTCTTAAGTACTAAACTAACATTATCAAGAAATTCATTAGTGTTCGAAAGACTTCTATATTTCTCAGGCCAATAATTTGCTTTCTGAATATCTCTTTTTGTACTGATTTCTTTTACTTCAGATAATCTATTAAGTAGAATCCATTCAATCGCTCCTTCATAACTTCAAGTTCTAAGTTGGAATTCTTTCATACAATCATCAATATTTTTATTTCTACTTGTTTACCTTGTTGTTATGTCAGGGTCGAATGTTAGACACCATGCTGGTCATGGGTTAATTCCATTACAATGTGCACATTTTCCATATTCTAATTATCTACGAAGACTATTACGAAAAAGGTCCTTCTTGCACTATTTATAAATTTTATTTTTATCCACGCTAATTCCATAAAAGTAACAAGTGGCCATTTTCCAAATTCCTATAGAATTACCTGCCTTAGCAAACTTTAGGTAATATTCAAACGCCATATGTTTATTAATTTCGACACCAGTTCCGAAGTTATAGCCAATTTGATAGACTCCGTTAGAATTATTTATTTTTGGCAATATGTAAATGCCACGTTTTCATCTTGTTTAACTCTACTTCCTAACATATAGCGGTTACCAGCCTCCAACATTCCATGAGAGTATCTCATATCGGCAAATTTTTGACAAAAAGTTATATAATAACTCTTTTTAACCTCAACTCTATTTCTAGATAAATGGCTAAAGCCATATATCGCGCTAGCATTTTCTATCTCAGCGGATTTTTGATAGTAATTGAATGCCTTACATTCATCCTCAAAAATGCTCTTGGTGGCTATTAGCATGAGTAACAGCAAGTTGATACCATGGTTGAATAAGGCGAATCTAGGTCTATCTATATTGTAAGTCCTTTTTCTTTTCAATTTGTTTCGATTACTATGTTTTCAGCTAGGTTTTGCCTGAGGTTTGTCTATCTTCGTTGATTGTTGATACTTAATAGGTGCCCGATATTCATCTTGTTCAACTCTAATTCCACTTGGTTGGTAAGCATTTCGATTTTTTTGAACCTTTTCAGCTTTATCAATATATTCAATCCTTTCACTATGGTAGTTACAGGTTTTTCACCATCAATCGGGCCCAACAAATCTTCAGGGATCGTGTTGTCACATGGATACCAAATCTCAACATCATTGGCATCTTCAAGCTTATTGAGATGAGTATTAATCAATTTTAGAGCCATCTTTTCGTAACTGGGCTCTTCGTCCAATGCGAGGTTCCTTTATCCGTTTGAATACTTATTTTATTCAGACAGCCAAGGTTGACTTGTAATGTTCCTTTCGTCTTCTGCTGCTTTTGATGACCATTGGATATTTTTATTTCATTCTTGCAATCGGATTCAAATATCTTATTATTATAACCCATATCTGCCGATTTTTGATTCTATTGGAGCTTTCTTTTCAACTTTAATTCTATTTTCTTCTTTACTAATCGTTGTGTCATCTTTACCTTCACAATTACTGAGTTCAACATTACTGTCTGTATTGTTTTTGTCCACTTCATTATTGCTGGTATCCACTTCGTCATTATCATCGGGTTTAAAATCTTCGGTACCACCTTTAGAATTACCCATTCCAGAAGATTTATGATGATGGATAAGTGCGTTATATTCGTCTTTTTCATCTTCGATTCCATGTTGATAGCCATATCCAAGATTATTTGTTGCATTAGTTTGTTTTATCTTTCTGTTCTCTTCAACCTTAATTACATTTTTTTTGTAATATAATTATACTTTTCTCAAACATTTTTTATATTATCATTATCCATATCAGCAGACTTTGGATAATGGATAGATGCTTTAAGTTTCTTCTTTTTTGAGGTCAATTCTGTTTCGCTTATATATTCGTTGATGGTCTTTAAATGATTTCTTTCTACTATGACCAAGCTTACCACTTTCGAAAGGTACTTTCTCCTGTTCTTCTTGGGCATAATAAGTATCAAAAGCGTTTGTAGCCATTGAAGGAACTTCTGCAGTGTAAGCTTTCAAAAACAGAATTTTCTTTTTTGATGTTGAGGTCACTTGGATATAAGATGGCAAGTATACAATTAGGACTTCTTCGGTATTTCTAGTGTTAGTAAGGTCTTCTATCACTTCCAATGTAAGTTCTAGAGCTTTGGGAATCTGTTCAGCATCTAGAATGTTACTATAGTTTTTGTTTATTATATCTTGGACCACTTCGAGTTGCTCCATAGTAAGTGTTCAAAGAAGCGTCGTACATTCTTCATCTAATTTCCTCACAGCAGGACATATAGACACGGTGTGTTCTTTAAAGTGGTAGTAAGAGCACTAATGTCTTCCTTGGAAGGTTTCTTGAGTGCATAATTCTGAAAGCTTTGACTTTGATACTGGCCTTCCTTTGAATATTGATATGATCTGGTCTGACTTGCAGCGTTTTGGTGATTGTTATTATAGTAAAAATCCATTTCTTGGTCTAGAATTACTAGATTGTCTTAATTCTTTGCTTCGTGTGAGTTTAGAAGTCCAATCTCACAGCTTTGGATAATAGGTTTGGGTGGATTTGAAAGTAAGTATCTCACAGTCACCACCAAATTGTAAGGGGTTAATTCGATCTCTATGATCGAAATATAGTCTCACAAGTCTCAACTAGAACTATACTAATCCAAATCAACACACAATACTACCTAATTATGCCAAACTCTATCTGGTCTCTAAAGGTGGAAGGCACAAAAGAGGGTGTAGAAAGACTTAGTCCGAGTTATTAGGGCCAAATAGAGCTCTAGACTATGTCACGAGGCTCTAATTCAGGGTTACGAGTGGTAATATGATTTATTATTGGGATTAGGGAATGAATATGTATAATTATATGCATAACAATACTTAGCGAGTGTTAAAAGCTCATTACTGAGTTGTTGTTTTATTCAAGGCGGACTCTTGGTCCTTATATACATGTTTTGGGTACAACATGATTCGCTATTTCTACCTAATATATATAACCTATCTAACTTATCTAACCTATCTAACATATATGCTAGATCCAACATATCTGACAGATCTGGCATATTCGACAGATCTGACAGATCTGTTAGATCTGTTAGATCTTTTCTGACCCAAATCGATCTACTGCGGCAAAAAATCAGATTGTGTAACAATTCACCCTTTTACAATATGCAAGAAAATGTGACCTTTGCCACCTTTCCATAAATATACAGAACAACCACAATATGCGCACATTTCCTTTTTATTTCCACAGCAATCTTCACATTTTGACTATCCTGGTAAATCGTCATAACTTACATTCAAGTCTTCTTTCTGCAAATTTTTGATGTCAATAATGTATATTAATAAATTGATTTTTTAAATTTATTAATTGATTGCTGAAAATTCTTACATTATCATTATCTTGAATAAATCCAACATTATTGACTTGTGTACTATTGTTTGCTAGAGTCGTTTGTTCAAGTATTTCAAAGATAATATTGATTGATTGCTGGTCATTGGGCATAGATTCATCTGTTTCTCAAATATTTTCATTTTGCTAAAATTTGTGATTTATCATTGATAAATTAGATTTTCAGGTTAATTTAATTATAGAAAACTTTATATTTTCTTTCTTATTTGATTGTTATTAATATATTTATTATCAGGCTAGTTCATATTGTCAAATGAAAATTGATCACTAGTACTGAAAACTTGCGAATTAGACAATAGTTTATTGGTTTCCTCATTATTTTCAAGGTCATTATCATCATTCTCTCTTTGCTGTAGTTTCGATGATTTGTTAATTATTAATTACACTTATAATTAATGTTATTGAAAATACTAACATGTGGATATTTCGATGCATCCTTTATTAATTATCAATTTCGTAAAAAAATAAAATAAATAAATAAAATTAGATATTAAACATCTGTTAAAACACTATTTCAATATCAACTTTTGAAATCTCTTACTTTATATTTATCCTTTCTTTTCGAGATTTTAAAGTAATCATCTATATAACTAACTTTAGCCTATTGGTCATCTTCCAAATTTAATGTATTAGTTTCATTTGTTTGAGTATCAAATGTTAATTCATTGACTTTCAATACTTCTAATAGTCTATTACTATCTGGATCTTAAGATTTATTTAAAAGTATCTTAATGTTACTGTGTCAATTGATTAATAAATATGGCAGGTTAAACTGAAATCTGATTAGTGTAAAATAGGCAATAGGGTTTTAGGAAATTAATTAGAAACCTCAAATTCCAATTTCATTATGACCTGCAACAAAAATATTTTAATATCAATTACATCTTCAATGGTATTAGCTAGATCATTGATTATTTTCTGATAAATTTTTTTAGAAATTAGAACTACTTCAGGTGTGTTCAAATTTTTAATATCCTTAGTGCCATTAGTTAAGAAAATGGCTACTGACTGCAATGCATTATTGAAACCAATTTCCTTAACTTCTCTTTTAGTTGCCTCCTATATAAGATTAATTGAATATCTAATAATTTCTCTTTTATTTTTTATAGTTTTGACCATTGTTCTTTAATTGTGTAGTAGTAAAAGAGAGAGAGTAAAAAATTAATATAGCATCAATGATAAATTTATATTTTATAATTTGACTATTGTTGATTAAAAATTTAATACTGGTGATATTAACTAATATATTTATGATTTTGATAGTTAATTAAATTATGTTGATTAATTTTCTTGTCATAGATTAAATCAATGTAAAAAATATCTATTATGTTATCATATCAATTTTAAAATATGTTGATTAATAATTTTTTTTAATTGTTCGCTTCGAGTGTGAACAAAATAATAATAATAATTATATTGTTATATAAATGTGTTTTTTTAAAAACTCTTTCCGTCTATCATCCGTATACAAATTTTCCCAGCTTAATTATTTTAAAAATATCTTATAACTTTATTTTCTACTAAGTTA